ATGAATATTGTATTAGATATCAAAATGAAAATCTATTATCAAATATACTAAAAAACTAAAAAAAAAAATTCTTGGAAATTGTCAAGAAAGATTAGATAGTGAATCTAAAATCACTGAAAATAAAAGTATAGTAATAACTTACCAGATTATTTGACTCTTTAAATAAAAGCATCAAAAGAAAAAACCCAGATAAAACTAATATTAATCAGTTAATATTAGAAAAATTTTAAAAAATGGAAAATAGAATAGTACTGTCTGTAGAAGAAAAGAATCCTTAATTCTCTAAAAAAAATTTATTTTCAAAAATGAAAAAATAATTTTGATCTTAATGAAAGATTAAGACAAAGATTTATAAGAATTTTGATTTTAATGAAAGATTAAGACAAAGACTTAAAAGGCTAGATGTTTACAAAAAAGGAAATAGATTTATTTGAAAAGATTAGAATAGATCTTTTAGAAATTATTAAAAACCTGAAATATGGTTTAAAACTTAAGAAAAATGATTATAAAAAATATTATAGTAAAGACAATTACAGCAATAATTTATTTCCAAAAGACAAGTTGATTGTTTAAAGAGTATAAATAAAAAATAAAAGAATTAAGATTTCATATTTTGATGTTTGGAACAAGAAAGAATTCACTTGTCATTTCTACATAAGGAGGTATAAATAGGATACATGGGAATAAATTAACTCCTAAAAACTAGCCTATAAAAAATACTATAATTGATACAATCACTTTAATTGATACTACTCCATGAATAAGACCTCTAATTAAGCAACTAGTACGTACCCCGTGCGATGCACGGAACATAGATATTAAATGAGTTATTTTAACAGTCTTGTCCGTTTAAATCTTTAAAGTAATAGTGTTATTATCTATTTTCTACCTCTTTTGATCAACGTTAAGTCTAAAAAATAATAAGGTTATAAGTTTTTTTTTCATATCTTTTAACCAACATTGTTTTTTAGCCATAACTTAAATATGAATATGTTAGGGTTAGCTTGTAAAATAATTAATATATTATCTCACTAAAATATTTATACTAATAAAACTTTAATTTCAGTATATAAATTTATCCCTTGATATAAAAGAAAAGTAACAGTTTTATTTATTCTTGTTCATCATATAATATTTAATTATTATTTTATTATATAATAAAAAAGAATAGTGTTAAATAGTTTTTTTTAACACAAAGATAATATTAAAAAAATATAAATATCCATACAAATATACGAACCAAGTTTTTTTAATAGTTTTATAAAAATAAATTATAATTTGTTAGTGTATTATTCAAGATCGTAATATTGATTTGTAGTTTTTAGAGACAGAATTTTTATTGTTTTTGCTCACCCCATTTTATGGGATTTTTTTATGTCAAGATAAGAAGGATTAAAAACAATATGTAAAATAGGAAACTTGATTAAAATTATAAATGCATTAATTACTACATGATAAAATTAGAAGTTCATTAATTAAAGTTGACTTTTCTACCTACTATGTTTAGTAAATAGGTTTCCTTTTAATATAAGTATAGATTAGAATCTTTACAGATAAACATAAACATATATCTCTACACTCCCCCTCAACTTGGGGCATAGATGTCTATCATGCCCAAGTTGCCTAAGAACTTTGAAAATATTCGATGAGGCACCGCTTTAGTAAGGATATCTGCTAATTGATCTTCTGATCGAATCTTCGGAAGTACTATAGCGTTTTCATCCAATTTCTCTTTGATAAAGAACATGTCTATCTCAACGTGCTTTGTACGATCATGTTGTACTGGGTTGTGAGCGATATCACGAGCTGCTTTATTGTCACAATATAATTGAATTGGTTCTGTTGTGGAGTAGCCGAGATCCTGTAATAGTAGTTTCAACCACAGTGCTTCACAAATCCCTAAAGCCATTCCTCTATATTCAGCCTCTGCACTTGATCGCGAAACAACATTTTGTTTTTTACTTTTCCAGGTGACAAGATTCCCACCTACAAATGTGAAGTACCCTGAAGTTGATCGTCTATCATCAAGGGCTCCTGTCCAGTCAGCATCAGTATACACATCTATGTGTACCTTTCTCGGATTTTTAGAGAATAGCACCCCTTTTCCTGGAGAGAATTTCAAATACCTCAAAATTCTCATAACTGCATTCATATGTTGTTCTTTTGGGTCATGCATATATTGACTTACAACACTCAATGAGTACGCTAGGTCCGGTCTTGTATGAGCTAGATACATCAATTTTCCGACCAACTTTTGATATCTCCCCTTATCTACTGGTACTTGGTTTGTCCCATTGCACAACTTTATGCCCTCTTCTAATGGAGTGTTTGCTGGTTGACATGCTAACATTCCAGTCTCTTGTAATAAATCTAAAGCGTATTTTCTTTGAGATATAAAAATTCCTTTGTTTGATCGAGACACTTCGATTCCCAAAAAATATTTCAGAGGACCTAAGTCATTCATTTCAAATTCCTTAAACAAGTGTACCTGTAAGGCCTTCATTTCTTCTTGATCATTTCCTGTGACAATCATATCATCCACGTATACAATAAGTGCCGTGATTTTCCCTTCCTTGCCCCTTTTCAAAAAAAGTGTGTGGTCTGAATTGCTCTGCTTGTAGCCAAAATATATCATGAATTTTGTGAATCGCCCAAACTAAGCTCTTGGAGATTGTTTTAATCCATACAATGATTTCTTTAGTCTGCACACTTTTTGACTTTCATCGTTCGACAACAGACATCCTGGGGGGAGATCCATATAGACTTCTTCCGCCAATTCTCCATGTAAAAAGGCATTTTTTACGTCGAATTGTTGTAATGGCCAGTCAAAATTTACAGCTAAAGATAATAAGACACGAACAGTATTAATTTTTGCCACCGGAGCAAATGTATCAGTATAGTCGAAACCATAAGTTTGGGTGTATCCTCTTGCCACCAATCTAGCTTTGAAGCGTTCGATAGAACCATCAGCTTTGTATTTTATTGTATATATCCACCGGCACCCAACCGTCTTTTTTCCGACGGGTCTGTCAACCAATTCCCATGTTTTGTTTTTCTGTAAAGAGGCTAGCTCTTCATTCATTGCGGCTTTCCATCTTGGATCAGCTAAAGCTTCCTGGACATTGTTAGGTATAAATATAGCAGATAACTGGTTCACAAAAGATTTATTTGTGTTTGATAGCCGATGTACAGAAACATAATGGTTCATGGGATATCTTACTTTGCTGGACAATTCAGGTTCATATGTAGTTTTTGGAATACCTCTAGTGAGACGTAGAGGTAGATGTTTTCTAAATGGTTCTGGCGTTGCCGACGACTCTTCTTCATTTGGTAAATCGGTTGGTTGAGACTCTGGAGAGGTTTCTTTTTCTTCTGCTCTTTCTGTGTGGTCATGTAATAAAGTTGAATTTCGATGTTCGTGCTCCAAATTGCAATTTTTTTTTTATCTTTCTTCCGTTTCTTCCACGGTTTGATTATCCAAATTAAAACGCCCTGCATTATCATTACATACCTGTACCATATCCTCCTCAAAATCATAAACAAGTGTTTGAATATTTTCAAGGCCACCCCCCTGCAAGTTAGACTCAGAGAAATACGTTGTATTTTCATGAAATGCCACATCAACAGTTATAAACATGCGTCGAGTATGAGGATGATAACATTTGTATCCTTTTGTATGAGAAGCATATCCCACAAAGACACATTTCAGTGAACGAGGCATTAATTTGCTTCGTTGATGTTTATGAATGTGAACGTAGGCCACACATCCAAAGATTCGTGGTGGTAAATTTGGGACAGGAGGAGCAACAATAGTTTCTGTAAGAGCTTGGAAGGGAGTTTGAAAGTTTATCGTTCGAGATGTGACACGATTTATAATGTACGTGGCAGCAAGGAGAGCTTCTCCCCAGTAGCATAGTGGCATGTGAGCTTCAATTAATAGTGCACGAACAACTTTTAATAAATGGCGATTTTTCCGTTCGGCTACACCATTTTGTTGAGGAGTATTCGGACAACTACTTTGATGCACACACCCATGATTTTCTAATTTTTTTTTTTTTTTTTTAATTTAGAACAATGATATTCTTTACCATTATCTGTACGTAATACTTGAATTTGAGTTTTATATTGGGTACAGATAGTTCTATGAAATTTCTGGAACAATAAGTTAACCTCAGACTTAGATTTCATCAGATATAACCAAGTCATTCTAGTACAATCATCAATAAAAGTAACAAACCAATGAGCTCCTCCCATTGTAGGGATTTTGGAGGGACCCCACACATCAGAGTGAATAATCATAAAAGGCAGCGGACTTTTATTCAAACTCAAAGGAAATGAGGTACGATGACTTTTTGCATGTTCACAAACATCACATTTCAACAAAGTGATATCAATCTTACTAAATAAAGTTAGAAACAATCTTTTTAAATAACTAAATGAAGCATGTCCTAACCGTTTATGACAAAGCCAAACCTCATGGAATTGTTTAGATGGGGAAACAACATCCACTGCTAATGTTTTTTTCAATTTGCTAGAAGCACTCGAGTCCATGTCCAACTAGTACAATCCCTCTCTCTTAATACCATAGCCAATCGTTTTCCGAGTTTGAATGTCCTTAAAAACACAATGGTTAGGCCAAAAAATAACAATACATGATAAAGAGGCAGTTATTTGAGATACTGACAATAAATTATATTTCAAAGAGGGAACAACCAGAATAGACTCAAGATGTAAAAAATCCGTCAGATTCGTTGATCCTTCCCCGATAATTCGGGTCATGTCACCATTTGCAGTGGATACACATTTTTGTGAAGATGGGTTTAAGATTGATACTTGGCCAATATTATGCGTCATATGATCAGTGGCACCAGAATCAATTATCCAAGTATCATTCGAAATAAATGTTGAAGTATTTAATATTTTACCTGTTGAGTTTGGAGCTGTGACTAATGCTGTTGATGATGGTGTGCTATCTTCTCCCTTAGTTTGGGAAACAGCAGCTATGAGAGGTCTCTTCGTATTCCGATGTCGATTTGGGTCCCACCAATCTGGATATCCAATCAACTCAAAACAACGATTCTTAGAATGCCCTATTTGGTCACAGTGAGAGCATTTAGGTCTATCAGTAAGGTTATTTTTTTCTTGAGGTGTTTGTCTTTGGCCGTTCTTGCACTTGACCTTGCGCTGGGGGAATAGGTCGGTGCCGACTAACCATTGCTGAAGCTTCAACTCTTTCAATCTCCTCGTTAAATGTAGTCAGACGCATAGCCTCACGCTGAATTATAGAGTAACACTCTTCAAGGCTAGATTTGTGTTCTAGGCGAAGAATTTCCCTTCGAATTTGATCAAATTCTTTGTCTAGACCAGCTAAAAATATGTGAGTGCGGATTCGTTCAATTGAACCTCGATATGCTGTAATATCATCTGGATGTTTCATAATTACTTTATCACTATAGTCTAAATCTTGAAATATTTCTGTCAATTCCCCATAATACACCGAAAGAGATCTCCCATTTTGTTTAGCAGAGAAAGCTCTTTGGTTTAAAGAAAAAACTTGCATCTCATCACCACCATCATAAAAAGTTTTAGACAAAGCACTCCATATTTCATGAGCAGCAGGGATCCGAATGTACCGTTTCATAGGGGACATAGACATCAGGAGCCATCGCTTGACTTTTTGATTTTCAGCATACCACTTCTCATAACCCGCATCAGATGCTTCTGGTATCTTCATCTTGCCTCGAATATAAGAGAGCTTTTCTCTTTCAGCAATGTGCATTTCCATTAATTGGGACCAAATATCATAATTGGTCTCGGAGAGGAGAATACCAATATTGAAAACTCCTTCAGATTGAATGATAACATGATTGATTTTTGTTTCCCCCATTTTAATTGTGTATGTGAAATGGAAGAAGAACATGAGGGAATGGTTTTATTTGGGTCCTTTTTTTTTTTT